TCCCTAATTACTTTTATTAACTTATTTTGTCTTCAAATTAATTATATGAGTACCTTAATTCCATCATTAACCATACAGTTTTTTTTTTAATTCTTAAATCAATTTATACAAACATAAACTTTTTAAAAAAGAAACGAAAATTCTTCCAACTCGTGGGTATCCCAATTGTATTAACTGTAAATTTAATGAAATTATAGGTATCTTATGTTCATAACTATTAGGCATGTCCATCGTTTAGAGGGTCCAAAATACATTTCATTGCAAAATTATGGTTAGTTGCCATGACGATAGATTAACATTGAATATATCATTATGCAACATTATAGATATGTGCAAAATTCACGAAAAGAGGACCGTTGTGTTACACGAGCTGAGTATGCTTGACTTGTGAAAAAAAAGGTGAGCTAGACTAAAACTATGACTTATCTCAAAAGGAGCTCTAACAATCTATGGATCAATCTGAACCTGTAATTTCGCAAGTCGCTCAGTCCATTTGCCACCTCTATGGGTAAGTGATCCAAGTCAGACTTGGCCTCTCAGTCTAGTGCCCAAGTGGTATAGAGATGAGGACTAAAATTAGGTTATTGTTTCATAATTTTGTTCAATCATTCCATTATCTTAAGTGAGATTTCGAAATGGAGAAAGCACCTTTAAAGAATATTTTCAAGTGTGAAACCTATAAAGTTGGGATGGCTTTGGAACCTACACATACTTCCCTTCCAAGGGACCATCATGATATTTTCCCAAAGAAAGAAAAGAAAAAAAGGAAAAAACGAGGAGGCTAAAAGTGTCAAGAAATTATTAGTTATAATGTTTTATCCATTGGAGAAAGAAGACAATATTTGAGGGTACCCAATATATCCATTTTTGTGGAAAGATAGTGATGGAACCATTGATTGCACAAAGATATAGAGACAAAGAAATCTAACCATATATAATTAGGTCCAACTTGATTAGACAAAGCAAAGCTACATCCAACAAAGGCATGTGTCCAATGTTTTTTGTGCAATATAAACAAAACATGGCTCGATCGAAGTTCAATTTTTTGACTACTTAGACGAAAAAGTCTTTCATGTTGCACAATAACGCTCGAGCGTGTTATTTTAACTTATTGAGGGACATTTGTTCCTTTCAATTTTATAAAATTAAAATGAAACATATTATGATTTAAACTAATATTCTAGTTCAAAGTTCATCTATAAAAACAACCTATTTTAATAAAAAAAAATATATTATGCATATATGAAAACTAATCTGTTATTCACATATAAGCTCTTGTTTGTCTTCCATTCTTTCAAAACTCTTTTCTTTATATACTTATTTTTAACCACACATTTACAAAATAAAATATTTTATACGTAAACCCAAAACTTTTTTCTACTTTTTAACCACAAATTATCCAAAAAATCAATATTTAAATCAACGTTTTTCAAANACATACTCCAAAAATTCACTATTCAAAACAAATTTTTACAAAAAAAAAAGGCCACCAAACAAGGGCTAAGTTGAACGGGAAGTGATATTTCGAGTAAATTTTAATCAATTCATCATGTTCTATTATTTGGACAATTATTTATTTTCATTAGAATGCTTATCTCATTTTCACTACTATTTGTATGTTAAAAAAGCATAAATATTTTCACTACTTTATTTTTCATTTTATCTTAAGAGAGAATGCTTATCTCTTCTAGCAAGTTCATTAACAGTACGTCTCGTTTTCACTTTTATTTATATTTTTAAAAGTATATATAATATGTTCACTACTTTTTAGTAGTTCTTTTTTTCAAAAGAATGGTCGTGTCTTCATGGTAGTTCATTGTCTGGACGTCTAGTTCTCAATACTATTTATTACTTTAAAAAGTCTTACTTTAGTAACATTAATAATGTTATGTGGATAACAATTAGCAGATTGGACAGCACTAAGGTAGCATGTTAGGGCCATTTAGTACCCGCTTCCGTGTCTAATTGGGTAACAACCGAACTGCATGATGACAAACTACAATAATAACATATTAATTGGTCAAATTGATTAATTTCGTGGGACCCAATATTTTTTTATCAAGTATTATAAAAGAATTTTAAAAATCTGATTTTGAATATACAACAAGCATGAGTCTTTCAGGACGTTTTATTGAATACAATTAATAAGTATTAAGAAAGAGAATATTTACATAAATTCATTTGTCGATCTTCTTATCCAATTCATCGTTGATTAAATATTATTGATTCTCAATCTACGCTTGTTAAAAAGTACTAATTTGTTGATAATTCTAAATATGGGAGAGAAATTTCGGTCTCCAAAAATTGATAATAAATTCACCATGTATCTCTCGCTTATACAATCTACACCTAATCTATTCTAGATAAGCCTTTATACATCAAATCAATTACAAATCAGTAATATATACAATCCTATAATAAATTATCCTTTTTTCTAAAATACAAATTGACTTTAGAAGATGAATAATGCTATATGTACATTTTGTATGACAATTTGGTTGACATTTCTCCATGTGTGGAGGAAATTTGTGCAATAATGCGATGGATGAGTTCAAAATCAAGAATATAGATATTATTACGTGAAAGAGTGTAAAGAACAGTATGAGTGATAGTGTAAATATAGCATGACTGTTATATGATACCTTGTGTAACTTGTGAAAGCCAATTAATTAGCACTCTAAAACACCTACAATAATTTGCATATTTATCTAATAAGAAAGAGGAGGTGGGTTAGAAAAGATAATAACAATATACATATATTTTTAAAATTCCCTAATATACTATTGGCCTTTTTGACATACCTTTTGAGAAGACAAAATGAGATTTTGATATTTATAAGCCGCTTTTGAACCCATTTGATTAATTTTGTAAAAGTACTCCTTTTAATTAAAAGAACTTTTAATAAAAGTTGGTTCAATCTGGATTTCCTCTAAAAACTCTTTTCGAAGAGGAAATTCTTTTAAAAATTAATTTTCAAATATCAATTAATATATTTCTTCTAGGAAATTCTTCTACATAAAGGTGAAGTAAAAAACAGAAGTCATGTCAAATGGAACTTACATCATTAGAGAAGCTATATGACTTGTTTTGCTCAATATATTCATAATTTCTAGGCTTTTCCTAGGAAAAAAATATTTACTCATTGGCCCTATAAAAGTGAAATATTTTTAATTATTTTATGAAGTATATATTTGTGTAATAATAACTAAAATGATGAGAAGTCTGTGTAATTATTAGTTATTAAAATTATCATATCCACTAGTTTGCATATGATAACATATGTGACTATGTCTAACAATTTCCTAGGTCATACAAATTGTGTTTTGAAGGGGAAACTTCATTGTCCTATCCTTATTTTGTAGTGTGGAATATTGCCCAACAATTTCTAACAAATTCAACTATTAATGTCACAAATCAAAGGTGTAATAATTGCATAAAAAATTAAGGTGACCATGTAAATAAAATAAAATTAGGTGATTATCAATAAATAAGTTTGTTAGGGGTAAAGAAAATATATTTTTTTCTTTTTGGTAAATTATGTTTATTGACCTATTTTTGACTGTCGATCAATTGTAACAAATTTAGAATTTCACTGTTTGAATGCGACATTGATTACTTGTCCAATTTAACGCAACTTGCTCAACTCGAGAAATATATATTATACAAATTTTTAAATCGAGTTATTTTATGTTATAGCATTATAAAATTATTCTTTATGTTATAATAAATTATCATGTACAGTAATACGTAATTATTTGTTAAAATTATTAACATAGATATATGGAATCCAACTCAAATATGGTACTCCATTTTGCTTCTCAATTAAATCTCATGCCAAATTGTTGCCACTTTATATCTGAAGATGTTCTTCCATCATAAATCCTTGCATTGACCACAGTAATATTGATATTTTGCATCATTAAAATTTCATTAATACTAAAATCAAGAATTCTTAAAAAATCAATTTCAAATTGAGAATGATTCTTTGTTGCATTAAAAATTTTTTAGTAATTATATGCTTAATTTCCTTCATAATAAAAAATTAATGTTTGATTCTACAAGAATTCTAAATAATAAAAGAGAAACTGTGTGAATCTGGTGGTTGTGATCATTTAATCATTATTATGTTTGCCCAAAAATATGGACCCCAAAATATTTCATGTTTTTTCACCAAGGAATTTTAATTTTTCTTACCTATTATTTTAATTTGCATATTCCAAACATCTCACATAGCACAAAATTAATTGTTTAATCAAATTAATTGTGTATTTTATAAAATCAATAACATGATGGCTGACAAATACTACACTCTGATGTGGAGCGTATATTCACGACAGATTACTATCACGTGGAGTACTTTACATCAAGTTTTTAACTGTCACATAAAATCTAAACTTGCATGTTACTTTCTCAGAGTACATGATATATAATACAACCTTTCACGATGAAGACAATGGGAGTGTGATCTTACACAAAGCATAATGATGTAGAACAACAATACAATTTCATTGGTTTAATTATCTTATCCATCTAATTAAAATTTAAAATCCTTTTTAATAAGTTTGTGACATCTTAGGTTTATCAAAACAAGCAAAAGTATTCCCAAAAATGGACAAAGCCCAAGTGACAAAAACTGTTAAAATAGTTCCAACAAAGAGACAAAAAAATAAAGTAGAACAAAACATTCAAATTAGGTACATACGCCATCATAACAGGTAGCAGATAGCATTTATTAATGAGTTTCACTCAAAATCTTGATAACACAATACATGCATTTCTCTCTCTTCCTCTCTCTTCAATCCTTTCTATGATCCGTTCTTGTAACTGTAAATTCTCCTTCCAAACATAGTACCTTAGACTTTATTTTCTAATCAATAAATATTACAACTTTCTCAGTATTAAATCAAAGGTGAAAAGGTTTTTTCACATAGACTAATCATCGTATGGAAGCCTCAATTCAGTACGATAATGCATAAACAGCGCAACAAAGAGCCAAGCAAATGGATGAACAAGATAAGAACAGAAATACAAATCTTGTGTTGGATCTAAGCCTCTCAAGCAAGGATTTCGATCGAAATTCCGCGCCGGAACTCAATCTTTTTGACAAAAATCCTTTCCAAACTCCGTCGAATATTGATCCAAGTCCACGAGGTAATGAATCCGAACCACGTGTTTTTTCGTGCAACTACTGTCAAAGGAAATTCTATAGCTCACAGGCGCTTGGAGGCCATCAAAATGCTCATAAGCGGGAGCGAACCATCGCGAAGCGCCGGCCCCGATTTGGCGTCGCAGCCTCTCTCAACCAGCACCGGTATTCTAGCATGGGTCTACTGCCACTGCATGGATCATTGAATAGGTCTCTTGGAATTCAAGTGCACTCCACAATCCATAAGCCAAGTCTTTTACCATCATCCACTATATATGGACAGTATGGCTGGTCTAGAAAGCCTCTTGATCAGCAACCGGCCATCGGGCGGCTGGCGGTGGAGAATCATCACGTTGGCAGCTCATCGAGCGGCGGAGCAGCTCGATTTGACAGTGTTCCAAAGTTTTCGTCAGTGGTCAACGGTATCGGAGGACACAGATGGGACAGTACTGCTCCTCCTATGAAGACTAATCAAGAAGAGCAGAAAAAGTTAGACTTGTCCCTCAAACTCTAACGGCATCTTCCATAGGACTCGACAATATAATAAATGAGATTTTAATTACTTATTTTTCCGTCATATAATCTTTCCTACCAAATGTACACTTTGTTCTGTTCATATTCTTGCAACCCAAACTCCCAATCTTCCACTCTGAAAATAGTTAGCAAGGGAAGGATTACAGACTGTTTTAACTCTAAAGAATTTTCTTGAATTTGTATTGAGATTCAGCATTTTTTTGGGACAATTAAATCCTGTATCCTGGTCAGATTCAAGATTTTTCCTCTTTTTATCATGCAAAATTTTAAGGTTAATGCGTTTTGTACTTTTGTTATTGAATTTGTTATGAAAAATTTGAATAATTCAATGAATAAATTCATATTTTTAATCAATGAGAAATATCTCAATAAAGAAATATAAATTATTTTCCATGGACCAGCTCAAGATATAATTTTTAAAACTCATTTTTCCTCAATCACAATTTTACAACCAATTCTCACAAGAAAATAATTTTGTCACGTGGATCTATAATTTCTTTCTTACTTTTTAATCACGTATTCTCCAAAAATGTCATTTATCACAAAATCTATCCCTATAAATTCTACATCAAACAAATATTGATTAGTAGTAATGTAGATTTTTTTTTTTTTTGTGTGTGTGTGCACGATAATGCGTAAAATATGCAAATATTAATGTGTATACAATACATAGGAGAAAAATATAGATATTTTAAATGACCTATTTCAAATTTTTATTTAATTTACTTTAAAAGGATTGGGTCCAACTAATTGGTCGAGTTCAAAACTCAGATGTAGTTAATTGTTCAACTTTAAAGCACTCAACTAGCTTGATCATTAGTGACCACAATATTTCCCCTCACTAATCATGGATTATATTCCGTCACGTACGACATTTGATTTTAGCCTCACATTAATGGAAGTGTCATGTCGACAATTTTTTCTTGCAGAATGGAAAACATATATCCCATTAAATCTTTGAAAATTGACCAACTTTTCAGTATAAACACGTTAATTTCATTGAGTCAAGTTAGAAGAATATATCTACTAGATCGTACCCAACTACTCAACCTTAAGGTTGAATAAATCAACATACTTGAGTGGCTCGACCATTATGGTCTAACCCATCGAGTACATATCCACTTTCTTAAGTTTTTCTTTTGACAATATATACTCACTACTTTGTCTTTTTACATGTAGAGCAAATGGAAATTATCGACTTTTCCTCTCGCGTAACTGTCACAAACGTCGTGCTTCTTTGGTCTATGTCGACATGAATATACAACTTGGATGGCTAACATTTGCCCTAATGACAAGAATTGTGCAGTTAAAAGGTGTAATTAATTGAGCAGTCTTGATCAATAGGTTGGTGGAATCATGTGCAAATTTGAGTTATTTAGTGACCCTTTAAGCTATGAAATCACATCATATCCCCCACAATAAAATGTTGCAAATCTTGATTTCTTACCTAAGAAATCTTTAAAAACAGTAGCCCTCTTTAATGGTGGGTCCAAAAATCATGATGAATTATTAAAACTTTATTATATTATGTCATTTTCTAAATTCTATGTAACTGAAATATATCTTAGTCACTAATCATGTATTATGTATCATGAGATATAGCCTTTGATTTTGCCTCTCATTAATTAAGTACTAAGTTCACAATTTTAAATTAATGAATGGAAGATGTGTCTTGCTTTAAAAGAAATTGGAAATGGAGCTAATTCAATTTCAATTTTTTTTTTAACAATATTCTTAAAGAGACAAAAATGTACGACCAAACTACATCGTATTTTTCTAACTGAATTTACAGTCGATGGTTTTAAATATGCATTAGAAAAAAATGGCCATTAGACGGTTGTAACTCCTTACAATGATCTTTGAATCTTCTACGAGATAGAGATATAGCAATTCTTACCAAATAGAATTGCGAAAAAAGAAAATTTGCAATTGACTAGGGACAGAACCTTTCCGGACCAAATTAGGTGTGGCAATACAAGCTAGGCTCGGCCTTATGACGAGTTCGATTAATCGACCCTTTGGCTCTTGGGTCGGGTTGAGTCGTCCACGAGCCGTTTGCATTCTTTTAAAGAAATTGATAGAACAAGCTCAAAAACGTGCCGACTCGTTAAAAATGTTCCATCCATGAATCGAGCCGAAACAAGCTGAGCCCCCTAACGGCTCGACCAGTTTGCCACCCTTAGACAAAATTGAGTGATAGACAACTGTAAAAGAAAAAGATTTTGCTCACCCCAAAATTTTATGCATAATTCAACTCTAAATTTTCGTCTCTGTTTGGTATTAATTAAAATTTTAATCATATATTTTATTGATCCCAGAATTTTTCAACCACATTTTTCAACTTTTATCAAAATCTACTAAAAATTTAATTTTTAATCCCGCCAAACAGGGGCTTAACTTCACATTAAAATATAATTCCTTTTCATCCTAAAATTTAGTTCCTTGCTCGCATTGTATTTTTGACAATTTTAGCCCAAGTTTGATGTTAATTATATAATGAAAAATTGGGGAAAATAATGATTTGAATAGTAATTTTTTTAAGAATGTATGATTAAAAAGTCAGAAAAGATTTTGGATTTACTTACAGAATATTTTATTATATGAATTTGTGATTGAAAATGAGTACGAAAAATAAAAAAATTGATTTAATGAGAGTCAAACATGGGCAAATGTTTAACCTAGGCTAGGCATTATTATTACATTATCTTGAATTTGGTAGACTGAGAATCAATCTCATTGATATTTTCATCATGGGATGTGCAATAAAGAGTTGCTAATTAAACATTCGTGTCTGTCTTTCTGTGCATTGATTTGATGGTGCATTGGCACCACCCACACTAATTATAGCAACACCTTAGAAAATATGTCCCTCTTAAGTGTTTTTCTGAGACATACATATATGGGTCCAAAAACTTATAATGGAAATGTGGGACACATCAATTTTATGTACCTTTGTTTCACTTAATTCTGTTTAGTCATGGAAATGTGTAGCACAGCAATCAATCATCATTACTTAGTGATAATTATAGAGACATATCGTGTGATAATTATCTGTTATTTTCATGTGAATAGTTGATTAATAATTCGTTGAACTTAAGCAAGTAGTTGTCCGATCTAAATAATAAAGAGGGCGGCAGGGGCGGTGGGGACCTTAAGGTTGGGGTTCAACATTTTTTAAATAATAAAGAAGCCATGCTTGTGACCACAACAAATGTATTTCAATGATGTCCTCAAAACTCTTAGGCTCTGTTTGAAAACACAAATTTTTTGTAGATTTTTCAACTTTTGCCTTTTTTGATATCATAAATTTGTCTTGGAAAACATTTTCCCAAAAAGCTTCACACGTGCACTATTTCTTGGATTTGAAGGAATTGGGAAATCTAAATCCAGCTTTTCGATTTTTTTTTTTT